GAGTGACGCTACTGGAGTGTGTGCAAGTAGGTTTACCCACAATGAGTGACGCTACTGCAGTGTGTGCAAGTAGGTTTGCCCACAGTGAGTGACGCTACTGGAGTGTGTGCAAGTAGGTTTGCCCACAATGAGTGACGCTACTGCAGTGTGTGCAGGTAGGTTTGCCCACAATGAGTGACGCTACTGGAGTGTGTGTAAGTAGGTTTGCCCACAATGAGTGACGCTACTGGAGTGAGTGCAAGTAGGTTTGCCCACAGTGAGTGACGCTACTGGTGTGTGCAGGTAGGTTTGTCCACAGTGAGTGACGCTACTGGAGTGTGTGCAGATAGGTTTGCCCACAGAGAGTGACACTACTGGTGTGTGCAGGTGGGTTTGTCCACAGTGAGTGACGCTACTGGAGTGTGTGCACGTAGGTTTGTCCACAGTGAGTGACGCTACTGGAGTGTGTGCAGGTAGGTTTGTCCACAGTGAGTGACGCTACTGGAGTGTGTGCAAGTAGGTTTGCCCACAGTGAGTGACGCTACTGGAGTGTGTGCAGGTAGGTTTGCCCACAGGGAGTGACACTACTGGTGTGTGCAGGTAGGTTTGTCCACAGTGAGTGACACTACTGGTGTGTGTGTGCAGGTAGGTTTGCCCACAGAGAGTGACACTACTGGTGTGTGTGCAGGTAGGTTTGCCCACAGAGAGTGACACTACTGTTGTGTGCAGGTAGGTTTGCCCACAGTGAGTGACGCTACTGGAGTGTGTGCAGGTAGGTTTACCCACAATGAGTGACGCTACTGGAGTGTGTAGCAGGTAGTGTTTGGAGTGTGTGCAGGTAGGTTTGCCCACAGTGAGTGACGCTACTGGAGTGTGTGCAGGTAGGTTTGTCCACAGTGAGTGACGCTACTGGTGTGTATGCAGGTAGGTTTGCCCACAGGGAGTGACGCTACTGGAGTGTGTGCAGGTAGGTTTGCCCACAGTGAGTGACGCTACTGGAGTGTGTGCAGGTAGGTTTGTCCACAGTGAGTGACGCTACTGGAGTGTGTGCAAGTAGGTTTGCCCACAGTGAGTGACACTACTGGAGTGTGTGCAAGTAGGTCTGAACACAGAGAGTGACACTACTGGTGTGTGTGCAGGTAGGTTTGCCCACAGAGAGTGACGCTACTGGAGTGTGTGCAGGTAGGTTTCATGGCTTAGAAACAATTTGGAGATTTTACGTAAATATATATATCAAACAAGGCTTGTGACTTATATATGTTTCGTTTACAGAAATATGCATGTACAACAGAAATACTAATACCAAAAAAAAAAAAGGGGGCGGGGGAACGGGGGTTAGACTTGTGAAAGCACAGTTCAATGAATCAATAACAAGGTTACGTAAATTACAACTAGGCTTTCTTTCCCACAAGAGCTGAATATATATGTCTAGAATCCTGCGTCACTTACAATTGTCAAAACGTCTTTTAACAAAGCATTTTACAAAATCGTTTTCGCAAACACCTCAGATATTTTCTTCAACACACAAGTAACACCAAGGAGAATGCTAATTCAAATCTGACAGAAAAGGATTGCATGTTCTTGAATTCACGTTTTGTATTCTGTTGCAAGGATTTCAGAACAAAGAACCAGGAGTTTGAATGTGGGGGATCTTTTGGGGATCTGGCAGACAATAAGCGGTGACACAAGAAGGGAAAAAAACAGAAGCCACAGACGTAAGTATGTAGAAAGTGATTGAGGAAGACACAAAACACATACAGAAGTAGGTTAAATAAAAAAGATCGTGCGTTACTGTAGGGGATTATACAGACAGAGAAGTACAAGGATATAGGAATGTGAGAGATAACAAAGATAGAGAAGTTACAAGGCTAAAAGAAAATGTAAGAGATAACAAAGATAGAGAAGTACAAGGATAGAAAAAAAAAAAAGAGATAGCAAAGATAGAGAAGTACAAGGATATAAGAAAATGAAAGAGTTAACAAAGATAGAGAAGTATAAGGATAAAAGAAAATGTAAGAGATGGCAAAGATAGAGAAGTACAATGATATAAGAAAATGTAAGATATAACAAAGATAGAGAAGTACATTTGTATTGAGAACTCTGTGCTGGCTGCTGAAGATGAGGACGGAGCACGCATGAGAATGACCCGAGTGCTGTGATGTCAATTCTTAACTCAACTCAACTCCTTTTTGTTAAATGTGTTGTTTCAATGTTGTTCTTCTGACTCTGTGTGATCCAATCAGTAGACTGTAAATAAATAACACAGTCACTTCTTACCTCTATAATCCTCATCCGTCTTCCATCTGACATTACTGAACAAGAAGCGTCTTCGGTCGGCGCAGTGAGGGGCACTGTTCTGTCGCTCAACTGGCTTGTGCAGTTGCTGGGGCGTTCTTTTGGAGCTGAGAATCGTCAAAGATCGGGCCACTTTGGGCAGGTCGGTTCGTTGGATGCGCTGTATGGCCTGGCTAATGTTAATCAGCTGTCGCAACAGAACCAGATCCATCTTCCTCATGGCCATCTGTGGACAGCAAAAACACCAGCTTCATAACTGATTAAAGGTAAATCGATGCGGCAATCAATATGCCGTGTTCATGTCAGACACGGGGTCACAGTTAGGAAATATCGCTTTACATGATAATTACGTATTGGGCACAGGAGATTAAGCTCATATTTTTTGACAGACCAATCGATCCGCGGTAGATGATGCGGTCAACATCACGCCGGCTGCCTTTACTTCTAGGACTTTTAGTACCCATTTAAGGCTAGCTTGACTTAGGGGGTGGGGGGGGGGGGGTTACATGTCTGGGTATAATCCGACACTGTGGGGATCTGAACCCAACATCTTCGGTTAGGCAGGTGAGCATCTAGTCTCTAGACAGGCGACTTACTGCCAGAAAGAAGGTAGCCAGCATGTTTTGGAGAATATGTTCTGCTGTATGGGAGTCAATCGTTGGGTGTGAGTTTTATAGTTGGGAAAAACAGAGACAAGTCAGAGAAGAGATGGTTTCTCAGACGAATTTTTCGAATGCCTTGAACAGCCACTACTATTTGTTTTTGTTTTTTAAAAAAGCGTGGTGGGGTGGGGGTGGGGGTGGGGGGGGGGGAACCAATGAAAGCACAACGGTATACATAACATTTACTGATATCACGGACATAAGATCTTGGCGCAGGCTGCTGAAGATGTGAGCGTGGCGCTTATAGAAATATCCGGAGTGCTGTGATGTTGAATATTTACTCACATGAACACAACACAACTGAAGATAACTTTGAGACAGAAACAAAGTTGTACAATGATAACAGAAACACTAGAACACGCCGTAATCCCCAGTCTCATCATGATCCTAATCTGTTTTACATTCGTGGCCAAGGGCCGTGGGCAGTAACAGTTCAGAGTTCTAGGCTAAATAGGCTGCGTTATATAGTGTCATTCAGGTTCAAGAAATATTGTCTTTATATCATTTATTGCATCGTCTTCCTGAGCAATCTTGCCCTCGAGGCTGATCTGAAGAGGTAAAGATTTTATCAACAATAAATCTCGCTGTATTAAACAGAAATACATCATTTGATATTCCCTTTCTCAGTCTTTCTGACACAGTGAACTTTGTATCTGCAATTTCTGATTGTGTGGTGTCTCAGTCTGAAAAACAGTAAAATATCCACAATCTCTGATTGCATCATGTCTCACTTGGGTAAACAGTAAACAATCCACAATTTATGACTGCATCATGTCTCACTTAGGTAAACAGTTAACTATCCACAATCTCTGATTGCATCATGTCTCACTTGGGTAAACAGTAAACAATCCACAATTTATGACTGCATCATGTCTCACTTAGGTAAATAGTTAACTATCCACAATCTCTGATTGCATCATGTATTGCTGGGTAAACTACACACAATCTCTGACTGAATCATGTCTCTCTCGGGTATATAGTAAACTAGCCACAATCTCTGACTGAATCATGTCTAGCTCAATGTCAGCTGTGTGTTTGTTGTTTACAGTGTCAGCTGTGTTTTTGTTGTTTACAGTGTCAGCTGTGTGTTTGTTTCTTACTGTGTCAGCTGTGTTTTTGTTGTTTACAGTGTCAGCTGTGTGTTTGTTGTTTACACTGTCAGCTGTGTGTTTGTTGTTTACAGTGTCAGGTGTGTGTTCGTTGTTTACAATGTCAGCTGTGTGTTTGTTGTTTACAATGTCAGCTGTGTGTTCGTTGTTTACAGTGTCAGCTTTAACATTTCCCATAATTATTCGACCGTTTTGCACCCGGTAGCTGCAAAACTGAAGAAAACTATTTCGAGAACCACTCGACAGCTAAAATTACATGTACTTAGAAATGTATTAGCTCAGATTGCGGTTTTCAGCTGATGCGACAATTGCTGGTGCCTACACGTTAGACAATGTGCGCGTCACTGTAGCACCCGAATCAGGCTCCACAAGATGAGTAGTCAGTTTTGTTTGATATCCAGGATATCTCCGCGGCCCCCAGTTTGAAGAACATTGGTGTGGAGTCAGAGTTACGACCCCAGATGTTTTTGTATATTTGTTATTTGACTGATCTTTGGTTACAATAAATGATGAACAGACTGACTGACAGCAGTTAGTCGATAGGTAAAAAGATATGCTGACCGACCGTTAGAGATACTAACAGACACAAAGACTAACAAATAGACTGATAGACTGACATACTGTTTGTCTGACTGTCTGATAGACTGACATACTGTTTGTCTGACTGTCTGATAGACTGACATACTGTTTGTCTGACTGTCTGATAGACAGACAGACAAACTAACAGCCAGGGCAATAGACACAAATACAAACAGACCGTCCGATAGATAGACTGAGAGACATACTAACTGGCTGATGGCTAGACAAACCCACAGAAAGAATTAAGACTGACTGCCAAACCAATATACCGACATGCTGAAAATAGCAAATTAAAAAACAAAAACACATAAAAATATTATAACCTTACAAAAGCTCAACAAAACATGAAAGAACCAGAATGCTCTGACGCTAATAGAATCAGTTGTCGAAAGAGAATCACGCAAAATACTTTGGTACTGCTCCTTACAGATAGTGAATGAATCAATGTTTACGACACAGAGACGTTGTGTTAAATGTATTTGAAAAGCATGATATCTCATAAAGTGTACAGAAGGTGGACGCCAGAGACAGTGTGTGAATTGACTGAAGCCTTTCAGGGTAGACATGTAGTCGCAGTTATTTCTGCCTGCAGCGGTTCCCACAATGCACAGATAACAGGTGCTAGGATCTCTATGTTACCTAGTCAAGCTTGGTGAAGACGCTGATGCCACCTCTGAGGCAGAGATAGGAGACGTTATAACCAGCTCCTCATAGGAACAGTCAGTAGAGGTACCATGGAGTGGCTGCTGCATCGGGGGATTGAACACGCAAGGGAATGCCCAATGTGCAGTGACGTCGATTTTCATAACAAAAGATAACACGCTGCCGTTCAGATGTTAAATGAGTCTAATGAAAGTATAAAATGAAAATGGGAATTGTATGTAAATTAGAGGCTGTAACAAATGTTTCAGGAGAATTCTGTTAAAAATGTGACAAACCGAGCCCACATGTTTAGACAGAGAGAAACAATTTTCATCAATGATAAAATTGATCAAAACGAAGAAGATGGGGATGACTTGGTGTGTGTTTGCAGAAGCGTGTCGTGGCACTTCGGCAAAGACAGATTTCCTGAGGACGACAGATGAAAGAAAAAAAAAAAACCATGTACAATCTATGGAAACATGGCGAATAACAGAACAGGAAATAAAAGAGATCCCTTTTCACGCCTTTAGGCGCATCGCGTATATAGAAAGAGCACCCATATTTTTACAGACCATAGGCACTAGGTGTTTAATGTGTTCAGCATTACGCCGGCCGTCTTTACTTCCACAGGACAACCATCCTAGTACCCATTTTAGGCTGGGTCGACCTGCGACGCCCCATACCATGATAAAAATCTACACAGCCAGCAGTGGGTTTCGATCGCGATGCGCTGGAATTACGAGTGGGACTCGCAACGCCTAAGCCACGGACGCCACGCAGAAACAGAGAAGAAGGAGTGCAAACTGACATGGGATACCATCAGTAGAAAGGCAGCAGACGTGCAGCGATGTAGATCAAGAGTGAATTCTTTATGTTTCAGAATTGTGCCTACATTTTCTTTGGCGTATACAAAATGTCACTTGAAAATCAATCTCAGTAATCAATGGAAAAATATATTAATTGCATATTAACCAGTGTACTTATGATTGATTTATCATTCTGACGAAGATGTACTCGATGGCCTATAGCAGTATATAAATGAAATTTTTAAAAAGTTATTTATCTTTCGGAAAAAAACAAACACTATTGTTTGGAAGGGGCGTCACCATTATAACAGATAATTTTACTTCTGGTCCTAGTCATTCATCAACGTACCGGCCTAACATTTTCGTTTTCATCGTCTGATGACTCTCCTGCTACGTCGAAAAAGGGATGAATATTGACTTTTCAGGCGAATATCGAACACAAGTGTCACCAAAAAAAAAAAAAAATCGACAAAGTAGACCTTAAATTACTTGTCATACATTGTCTTCGTGCAACCTTTCATGGTTTGGTTATAATGTATGTTACCAGATAGAGAGGTTTGAAACAAAACCCATGTTTACTAAATGTGAGCCTCATATTTATGTTAACAATGGAAAGCTTTGTCAGTCGAATATTGTGAAATTGGACACTGTTTACTTGTTGAGTTTCTTATATGTGTTTCCTGTACGTAAACAGGATGACCCCAGACAAGGCGATATGAAGATACAGGGCTGAATGTCCACTGTTTGCTCCGTTCTGCCACTCTGTGAACACACGCAGAAAGGGGAAAGTCTGTGTGGGAAGAAAACTCTAAGAGAAGGGACAGTCTGCGAGGAAAGAAAACTCTACGTGAAGGAAAAGTCCAGGGGGGAACAAGGGGGGAGGGGGTGGAGTGGAAGGGCTGTTTGTTACCTAGCATAAGTCTTCCTATTGCAGGGGTCTCCAAGTTTGTACAGAACAAACAGCAATAGTAAACCATCATAGAGACGTTGTTGTAAGTAATCTTTCGTTGAGGAGGGAATTCAATTACATATCGGCTAAATGAGTCAATGTGCAGTGAGGATCATATGTTGACTAGTGGACCAAACAAGACAACTAACCAACCAAGCAAACAATTACTAACTAAATAGCTAACAGACAGCCAATTAGCTAACCACCCAGTTAACTAAGCTGATAGCCAGTCATCAATCGAACCCAGTCGAACCAACCTATCAACCACCAACTAACTAGCCCACGTATCAACCAAACAACCAACAAACCAATTTACCAAACCATCAAACAAACGACCAGCCAGCCCACCCATTTAGCAACAAACCAACCAGCCTTTCACTTATCAAGCACACCTCCAACAAACCACCCATCAGTCGACCACAACAACCTATCAACCAACCAACAACTAACTAACCGACCCATCAACCAAACAACCAGTA